TTAAAACAAGAACTATATTTAGGTACTTGACATGCTTATCCTAAGTAAATAAAGGTAATAAAGCTGAGTCAGTTATTTTCTTATGACTAACCAATTAATCGCTAGTGCTCAACTTTGAAGTTGGCTAAATTTTTCAAGCTCCAGCTACTTCTTACTATCTTAAGGAAATGGCGGTCATAAAACTGAAACAGAAAAATTCTCTTACCTCAGTTGTCTTATATGAACTTAGGCAAAATGGAATAAGTAGGTTCAGGAAAACAGTATATAGAATGATCATAACAATATAAATAGAAATAACAATAAAATGAAACTGAAAATTGTATAATTATAATGACTAATTTTGGTTCCATAGAAGAGACAAGAAAATATACCTCCCTCCTTTCACTGAAGAGGTGGAGAACTATAGCATGAAATGTTGCTTGCTTATGTTATTAGACTGCTGATGTGTGGTTTGGTTTCATTGAACATGATTATTATTATTAAACATAGTAAGGGCTGAACTACAAGGAGCATGCATGATCCTGGATTCACCAGATAACTTTTAGGGACATTCGTGGCTCAGCACTGAAAGACTTGTAAACTAAACAAATATTCCTTCAAAAGTCCAGGTTGTGGTGTTGAGGGAAAGGAAGGGACATTCTGACATGGACTACTGACCGGGTGTAGAGAGTCAGAGTAAGGGAGGAGTCAGATGCTTCAGAACAGCCGGGATGACTGAGAGAATGATTAGGTAATTAAGACAGAAATTGTAGTCCTAGCTTCTGGAGCTGGAAGGAAACTTAGAGAATATTAAGTAATCACCTCCTCTGCTTATTTTACATAGAAGGAAGAGTAGCCCCTTGGTGGTAACTGAGTTTTTCAAGGTCATGTAAGTAGTAAATAGCCTAGAAGGATTTGAACTCTGCTCCTAAAGAATCTAAATAAATCCAGTGTTATTGCCACTGCTTTCCTCACTGGAACAACTATTTTGTTTGTTAGTTGTGGTGGTGGATTTGTTCTAGACATGCTAATTTTGAAATCATGTTTGGACCTTTCAGGCTGAAAAATCTACAAGGCAACTGAAATTTGGAACTTGGGGGGAGAAATCAAGGTTGGTGATGAAGAAGTCATAAGAATGTAGTCTCTAATGTATAGTATAAAGAGACGTGACAGGAATGTGAGAACAAGAGGTCACATTAGTGAACAAGAGTAGGTAGGGCCTCCAGTGAGAAGATGCAAAGACTAGTAAGAAATATCAAGGACAAAGGTCAGCTATGTACAGTGCTTCAGAAACCTCATGGAAAATATGGAGAAATGGCTCAGTTGGATTTGGCAATTAGCTACAAAGAGAGAGGGTCATGTGTGGCCCCTCTAGAGATGATTGTTCAGATTTAATGATGCTCTAAATAAGAATTGGGAAAGTTGGGGAATAAGGCTATCAAGGAAGACAGAAATTGCTGGAAGGTCACAACATTAATAAATAATATATATTTAGCATTATTTTGTTTCAAATGTTTTTTTTTCTATTTTTAAACATTTTCCTCCATGGTATCTATCTCAAAGGAGAATCATCCTTTTATTATATAAGTTGCCCTAAAAGTTTTATTTTTGCTATAACTACTTTAATTTTCTTCATATTACAAAATCCAGAATATATTTCTTGTGTTTTATCTTTAATTCACATGAAAAAGAGGATCTAAAGCAGATGCAGGGTAGAAAAAATACCATGCCTCAGTCTTCCATGTTCTTTCCTTCTCCTTTAAGAAAGCACCACACTGGATGCTTTTGTCTGAAATTACCCTGCAGGTGATTCAAAAGTGGGAGAACCTGCAATCTAAGAACAGCTTTTAAGCTTGTAGGCTCATAATTAACTGAAAGACAAGTATTATCAACAGTCAACCTATGCCTCCAACAATACAAACTTTTTATTTGGAACTTCAAAAGCATAGATAAAATTTCAGTGTATGCACAATGACAAAAGCTCTTCTGAAAAAAAATCTGTTTTATAGTGGTAATTACATTCAATTGCCTTTGAATAGACTAGCTTAATGATTTCTTACAAAAAACTTTTTGGATTAAATAATAAAAAAATCAGATTCCTGCTTATCATAATTCTTACATATACTAGGCTCAGGAAAAATATTTGTTGCTTTTTTTCATAGTTTCTGAGTCTTCTTTTTAAACTTATTTTCTGTAGGATAAAATAGAATTTCCTTTAGCTTTTCAAGCCTTTCACAACCTGGTCCTAGACCTATCAGGCCACCTTCACTGGACATTAATCCCCCCCCCCCATATGGCTGTCCACCAAATTGGCCTTCTTTCTATTCCTCACAGCACTTTATCTCTGACTTTGAATTGGAATTTGAGTTGCCTGGAATGCACTCCCTTTTCCCTTTTGTTTCATAAAATCTCTCTCTTCCTTCTAGAAGCGGGACATGTCACTCTACTTGGACTCTTTCCTGATCCTCTCTCCCAAATTACCTTTTATTTATCTTTATATTTATTTTGTGTATATTTATACAATAATTGGTGTCTTGCTCTCCCTTTCCTCTCCTCTTCCCACTTAAAACGTGAATTCCTTTAGAATAAAGATGGTTTCACTGTGGTTATCTCTGGAGCCTAGCACAATTCAGGAGACCCATATTCAGACTCCAACTCTTATACTTTCTAGCTCTTTGAACTTTCTAGGAGTCTCAGTTTCTTTATCTGTAAAGTGGGTACTATATGCCTCCAAGTGTTGTGAGGAAATAGTTTGTTAGTCTTAAAACACTACAGAAATGGGAGTAGTCACATTCTTTTTTCCCCATCTTCATCTCTGTGAAGCAACATGAAGCTATTTTTTCCTCTAACTGTAATATAGGTGAATGAGGTTTCAACAGTTTTGTTTTGTTTTTTTAATTTGATATTGAGAACAAATTATTTAAGATCTTCCAGTTACCCAAATAATGCAGGTTTTGGTCTCTTTGACTTCATCTGCAATTCAATACTGTAAGGACTACTGGCATTCCTCAGGTGGGGAAGTCACCTGAACTTAGGAGTTCTATTGAATATAATCAACATAATAACAACACTTTGAATTTAACACCTAGGGGGTGGAGATGGTTAAATCGCCCACCAACTTTCTGACTATCACTTATTGTTCCCCCTCCTTTACCCCTATCAGCTTTCCCCAGCGGAAGAACAAAAGAGGTTTTGAATTTTCCAGTACCTGTTATATTGTTTGGAGACCTGTTGCATAGCTTCCTGATTTTGAAAAATGTTTGTGGAAGGGCAGTATGTGGGTAATATTTCTATTCCATGAAGCACCTTTTTACTTGGATCATTTACTTCCTATGGGTGTTATTAAAGAATATAAAGAAAAATAATCCCTCACAGTCTTCTCTTTGCTTGAGGTTGAGAAGAACACTAGAAGGCTGAGGAAGGGAAGGCAAGGGAGGGAGAAAGAATAGAGATTTAAGGGATACGTTGTGGGGTGAATTAGGAAAGGGAATAGACGCGTAGGAATGGAGGGGAAGGGGTGGAAAGGGCACTATCTTTCATTCAAGATGCATTTATCAAGTCCAGTGCTTATCGCTGTTAAGCACTAAGGGAGACACAAAGTTTAGATTTAAAAACTGCCCTCCATTAGAGAACAGGATACAAAGACTGCTATATTTTAATGCATTAGAAAGGTTCAAAATGAAGCGCAATTTGACTTCCAAGGTGGGCAAGGTGTTACTGACAAGGGGGAGTGGAAGGTCACAGAATCGAGGGCTGGAAGGAACCTTAGAGGCTCTGTGGAGGAGATGGCATTCTAGTTGGCCCTTTAAAGAATGGGTAAGAATTCAACACATTCCCGATGGAAGTAGAGCTTCGGAGGTACTTGGGGAGAAAAGGAAGGGAAGCTGGAAGACATAAGTGGGAAGAGATTTGTCCTCTGGTTGACATTCGAAGCCCCTTACCACCTGGCCCCTTCCTACACCTTAATTACACCTTAATACACCACTCCCCATACTCTACCGATCCAGGGGCACTCATCTCCAGACTCCCGGGCGTTTTCAATGGTTGTCTCTCATCCCTGCGATGCTTTCCCTCCTCGCTTCCCTCAAATCCCAGCTAAAATCCCACCTTACGTGAGAAACCTGATCCCCCTTAATGATAATGCCTTCCTTTTGTTGTCTCCAATATATCTTCTATATAACTCGTTTGTACTTAGCTGTTTGCACCCTGTCGCCCCGTTAGACTGTAAGCTCCTTTGGAGCAGACTTTTGCCTTTCTTCCTATTCTCAGCACTTAGCACAGTGCCAGGCACGTGGGGGGCGTTTAATAAATGCTTATTGACTGTTGAGATTGCAAGGAGTATCTGTAAGAGTGGATAAGGGGGCGACTAGGTGGCAGTAGATAGAACTCCGGCCTTGACGTCAGGAGGACCTGAGTTCTAATCCGTTATCAGACACTTTAAACTTACTAGATGTGACCCCGGGCAAGCCACTTAACTTCGGTTGCCAAAAAAAAAAAAGTGGATAAGGTTGGAAAGGCAAGGGAGCCCTAGATCATGGAGAGATGTGAACTGACCTACGTCTTAACTTAACCAGACTCAGACTTAGGGAGCTATTGATTTTTGAGCTCATTGGTGACCGAACAATAACCAGGGTGGGGGACGGGGCGGCCGAAATGGAACTTAAAGCTTACGGAAAGATCTCAGAGATCAAGGAGGAAAGTGAGGCAAAGTTTTTCACTCTGTAAAACCAGATTCAAACCTTTGGGCACCACCCTCTCTTCCCTTTCATTCTGAGGCGGCAGCTCCCCAGCCCAGACACCCGGTTCGAGCAGGTGCGTGTGCAGACAGAGGCGCCTCGCTAGCGAGGGACGGCGCGCAAGCGCAGCTTCTGCAACTTTCCCCCTTCCTCTCCCGGAGGCCTCGCTTCCCTCGCCCGGCCTCCCGCTCTTCCAATCAGAGCCTCGCATTCCGTGCGCACGTATCCTAGAGATGGGGAGGCTGGGGACGAGGGGCGGAGGGAAGGAGCGGGGAGAGGCGGAGCTGGGGGAGGACAGGGAGGGAGCCCAGCCTCTCTCTCCACCGACCGGAAGTGGCCGTTGTAAACTTCATCTCCCTTAGGGCCAGCCCCTTAGCCTGACCCCTTTCTTTTTCTGATCCCGCGGTCCTAGAAGCCGCCGAGTTCCGTCAGTCCCCAGCCCCCACCCCCTACGCTGCACCCCTCCCCCCCTCCCCGCCCTCATCCCAGCAAAGTGTTTGTACTACGCCCTCCACCCATCTCTCTATGCCGGGGGCCAGCTGGGCTAGGTGGTTCGGTGTAGTTTGGAGGTTAGGCCCTTCGGGACTGCAGCCTGAGGACATCTGTGGGGGCGGCTGACACCTGCTGAGGTAACGAGTGGGGAAGGGGAGGGGTGCATGATTGGGGGAGGGGGCTGCTGGAGTCCTCGAAGGAGCCCTGGGGGAGGGAGAGGGGTGATGCTGGGGAGTAGGAGGGGCATCTCTGATACGGGGAGGGGGGGCGCCTTGGATTTGGTGCAGTTGGGGCGGGTGGTCTCCTTCCCTTTTCTATATCTCTTCTAAGTGTTTTAACTTTTTGGAAAATTGGTTCTAGGTTTTTCTTAGGGCAGAAATTCTTTCTTTCTTTCTTTCTTTCTTTCTTTCTTTCTTTCTTTCTTTCTTTCTTTCTTTCTTTCTTTCTTAATCTTTCTTTCTTTCTTTCTTTCTTTCTTTCTTTCTTTCTTTCTTTCTTTCTTTCTTTCTTTCTCTTCTGTGCCTACAGTCATCTTTCGGTGACACAATCTGTTGGCTGGACGTATGAGACTGTAGTCTCAGCGAGGTACCTCAGTTACTGTTGCAGTGTTGCTGCTCACTTTGTAACTTAGCATTTAGTCTTAGGAACACTCCACAACATTGCCTGAGCTGGGTGGGAATGGCGTTCCAGATAAAAGGCCAGAGAAGCAGCTCTCACAGTTTAGTGTTTCCTCACTCTCTCCCTCTGAGGTGGAGAAATTGCTTTGTCAACTTTTAATTGCCATATTAGGGTCAGTTACTGTTGTTACAGTGTTAAAATGACCATGGACCGGAAATCAGAACTGGGTTCTGGTTTCAATCTTGGGTGATTTGGGGCAAGTCTTTTAGCCTCTGTGGGTCTCTCTTTGCAAACAGACCAGTTTCCTGAGTCAGAAACTGAGTTTCTGAGTGAGAAAACCAGTTCCTCAGGCAGAAACTGAGAACCTGAGGTTCCCAAATCGGGGGGTACAGTCTTCCCCTCCCCAACATGGGAGGGCAGCCGCCGTAGTAGCTTCCTGTGCAGTGGGGGGGGGGCAGCGGCGTTGAATAAAAATAAGGGGTGGTGGAAGCATAAGGAAAGAAGAGAAAATAAGAAAATTTTGAAAAACCATTCCTATGTGTTTCATTTGTTGTCTGACAGTTAAAGTAGTAGCGATTACATTGCTTTCTAAATAAACACATAAAATGCAAGTTTTAAGGGATCAGTGGTGAACAGTCCACAGACAGGTCTTAACAAGCAGATGTGCCCTGCATTGAGTGGAATCCAGCATGCATAGGCAGGAATATGTTCATGTAATAAATTGCTTATACTATATGGTTACATGATGCTTTTGTCATCAAAATTTCAATGCAGGGGAAAACCCACAATAAATTATTAAATTTAAATGTGTCATTTAAAAACATTTAATATTTTTTTGAAGTGATGCACATTTTTAAAAAAGCCATTAAAGGGTTAAAGAAAGTACATTTCCAGGGGAGTGCTGAGTAATTTTTTCTAAGAGGCAGCTAAGTGGCATAGTGGAGGACCTGAGTTCAAATGTGGCTTCAGACACTCTACACTTACTAGCTGTGTGACCCTGGGCAAGTTACTTAACCTGTTACCTACCCCCCCAAAAAAGGGGAGGGTGGTAGGCCAAATAAGTTTGGGAACCTCAGGCTTACAGTGTAGATCTACAGGTCATCTAGTACAAGTCTCTTTCCCCTCCCCCCCTTTTATGGTTGAGAAAATCTAGGCTCAGAGAGGTGAATTGATTTATCCAAGGTCACACAGATAACAAATGGCTGCACCAAGATATTAGGTCCTCTGCTTTCAAAACCAGTCAATCAAGTAAGTATTTATTAAGTGCCTACTATATGCCATTCACAGGCTAAGGATTCACATACAAAGAATAAAATATTTCATACTCCAAAGGACCTGCTTACTCCCTTTTAATTCAGAAGAAAACAGGTATATAAAGAATAAATATAATTAGAATGACAACAAAGTAGTTGAATACAAGGTTGTATGGGAAGAAGTATCCCATCAGTTAGGAGAATCAGGAAAGGCTTCCTGGTGTTTCAGCAGGGTCTTGAAAAAAAAAACAGATTCTAAGAGATAAAGATGATGAGGAAGTGCCTAATGTACAAAGCCAGTTTGGGTAGGTGGCAGATTGTAGTAGGTGCAATGATGCTGGAAAGATAGGTTGGGGCTCAGTCCCTAAGTCAATAAGGGTTGACTTGTGGTCAATTTCTCCTTCAGTGACCTTACCCTCTAAGGAGGGAGACCATAAGCAAACAAATAAGTATGAACAAGATCCATACAGGGTAAATAGGAAATAACTAACAGAGGGAAGGCATTACAATTAAGAAGGGGTGGGAAAGGCTTCTAGTAGAAGATCAGATTTTAGCTGGAACTTGAAAGAAGCCTGGAGAGATGACAAAGGAAACCATTCTAGGCAGAGGGGGACAGCCAGAGAAAATGCCTGGAGTTGAAAGTTAGTGTTTTGTTTGTGAAACAGTGAAACAGCAAAGAGGCCAGTGTCACTGGATCAAAAGGTGTGTAGCAGACAGTAAGGTTCTAGAAGACTGAGAAGTTGAGGGGAGGGTAGGTTATGAAGGACTTTGAATGCCAAATATCCTGGAGATAATATAGAGAAGAAGGGTTACATGGTTGGACTTGTGTTTTTGGAAAATCACTTCCATGGCTGAATGGAGGATAGATTGAGTGGGGAGAGACTTAAGGCAAGCAGACCCACTATCAGGCTATTGCAGTAGTCTAGTCTTGAGGTGATGAGAGCCTACATCAGAGTGATGGCAGTATCAGAGGAAAGAAGGGGGTGTATTGGAGAGATGCTGAAAAGGTGAAATTGACAGATCTTGGGAAGAGATTGAATATGGGGAGGTTAGAGAGAGGGAGTAGTCAAGGATACCTCGTAGGGACTGGGAGGATGGTATTGCCCTCTATTGTAAAGGGAATGTTAGGAGGTAGGGGGAGAGGATTTGGGGGAAAGATAATGAGTATAGTTTGGACATGTTGATTTTCAGATAGCTACTACACATTCAGTTTGAGGTGTCTGAAAGGCAGTTGGAGCTGTGAGACTGGGGTGGGGGTGGGGTTCAGTGGATTTGAGAATCATCAGCATTGAGATGATAATTAAATCTGTGGGAGCTGATGAGATCACAGAGTGAAGAATAGAGAGGGAAAAGAGGGTCCAAAATGGAGCCCTGTGAGACATCTAGGGTTAAGGGCGTGACCTGAATGAGGAGCTAGCAAAGGAGACTGAGAAGGAGCAGTTTGATAGGTAGGAGGAGTGAATGGTGCCCTGAGAGCCTAGGAAGAAGAGAGTATCAAGGAGAGGGTGATCAACAGTGTCAAAGGCTACAGAGAGGTCAAGAAGGATCACCTTTGATAAAAGGACATTGGATTTGGCAATTAAGAGATCTTAGTAACTTTAGAGAGAGCAGTTTCAGTTGAATGAGAGCTGGATTTTAGATAGTTAAGAAGACAGAGGAGAGAAAGTGGAGGGACCTGTGGTACTGTCTGGACTTCAGCTACAAAGGGTAGAAGAGATATAGGATGATAATTAGTGGGATGAAATGATCAGATGAGGGTTTTTTGAGGTTGAGGGAGATGTGTGCATGTTTGAAGGTAGTAGGGAAGGAACCAGTAGATAGACATTGAAGATGGGGGGATAATAAGAGAGGGCAATCTGTTGGAGATGAGATTAAAAAGGCTTAATGGAGGTGCTTATATTTGATTCTAGAGGATTTGGGATCCATTGGCATTGTTTAAGAAGGGGACTGACATGTTTAGATCTTCACTCGAGAAAAATCACTATGGCAGAGATGTGTAAGATGGACTGGAGTGGGAAGGGAAGGAAATAAACATTTACATACGTGTGTGTATGTGTGTGTGTGTATATATATATGTGTATATATATATATACATATATGCTTATATGTATATATATATACTTGTGTATGTACACATACACACACAAATATAGTGCTTACTATATGTCAGGCACTGTGCTAAGCACTTTTTACAAATTTAATTCTCAAGGTAACCCTACAAGGTAGGTGCTATAATTATCCCTATTTTATAGTTGAGGAAACTGAGGCAGACAGAAGAGATTAAGTGACTTTTCCAGGGTCATATGATTAGCTAGTTAAGTGTCTGAGGCCGTGTATCAACTCAGTTCATCTTCACTCCACACCCAGTGTGGCAGGGAGATCAATTAGGAGGCACAAATATAAGTGAGAGGTGATGACGGCCTGAACTAGAGTGATGGCTGTGTGAGTAGAAAGAAGGGGTTTTTCTGGAGGTAGAAATGGAAATATTTGGCAACTGATGGGCTAGGTAGGATGAGAGATGAGTAAAGAATCCAGTATAAAGAATCCAAGATTACAAACTTGACAGACTGGAAAAATGGTGATGCCTTCAACAGGGAAGGGAGGAAGAAGGGTGGGTTTTGGGGAAAAGATGAGTTCTGCCTTGGACTTGTACAGCTAAGAAATCTCAATTTAGTTTAGTTTGAACATTTAGTTTGAAATGTCCAATAGATGAGACTGAAGATTGTGGAGAAACTGGCTGGAGATCTATGTCTGTATCTGTGTCTATGTCTATATATCTCTATTTCTGCCTATATCTATAAATTTGAATCTAGATTTAGGTTATATCTATAAATAGGGCCATCCTGGAGCCAGCTGACTGCTGTTTGTTGAATTTTCATTGTAAGCATTTACAACTTGGAAATCTGCAAATGATATAAATCAGGGCCTGATTTATTGTTTTGTTGATGGTCTAGATAAAAGAATGATGGAGAAAATGTTAGTAAAACAGATTAAACTTAAATGTTAGTAATACAGTGTTCTATATATATTTTTTTCTTCTGTCAAGCCAGTTAAAATATTTACCAGCACATTGCAGTCTACATATCTGTACATCTGTGAGTTGTATGAATGGAGATAATAAATCCATGGGATCTGATGAGAGGGTACTTAGAGTGGGTAGAAAGAGAAGAGGGCCTAGGACAGAAGCTTGGGTAATATCCACAGGGGGTAGGCTAGGGATGATGAGCTAGCAAAGGAATTTGGAAGGGTTTAAGAGGAAAACTAGA